GCTCAAATATATATATATATATATATATTATTTTTCTTATACAATTCTCAGGGTTCTACGTAGACATGTATGCTAGGATGAACGTCGAGATCGTGCTAGACGTTATGATATCAATGTGCATTTAATGATTTTCAAATGTTTCGATCCACACTTACTAAAGCCACTACTCCCACTCTACTTAAAATAGATAGCGCTTGTAAATAACTACCCGTGCATACATTTAAAATAAATATTTATTGCAAGAAAATGCTGGACCTCAATTATTCGTTCAAAGCATTGGTGCTTACAGCCATTATTGGACGTTTTAGTTTTTCTAACTTGTTCAATCGTACGCTTAAGAATTTGCCCTGCAGCGGCCTATTCTGAACACCCTCTCCAAAACGTTTCTTGCTGTTCCGTCACTTTACCAGCGGTGCTGCCTTTCCTACCAAGCCAGCTCCCCACGCTCGTCTCTTTCATGACTTTAGGCGGCCTTGACAGCGTCCCAGGAGCTGAGTGCTGGCCTGCCTGACTATCTGCCAGCTTGCTTGCTTTAGTGCTCCGCTTTCTAACATGCCGCCGCTGCTTCTGCCGCCGCTGCTCCTGCCGCCGCCCCCGGTAACTTCGCTCTACATCGTCCCCTTGCAAGCACGTTCTACTTCGCGTGGCGACTGGCAGTCGTGACGGTGTGCCAGGTCCTGAGTTGCTCTTGCCCAGGCCGTATTTTAGAGTCAGAGCAGCGTAGAGCTTTCACCAGTCGTCGTACCCCGTCCCGCCTCCCGGCAGGATTCTTCCTGGCCCTAAGTGTCCTTGGCCTTGCCCGTTCCCGGTTGGCGACCCAGTTGCTGCCGCCTTCCACCCAGTGTGTCCCAGTTTCCTAGCCTTGTCCCGGATTCCAAGCTGTGCTTCAGATCTTCTCCTCTTCTACCCGTCCTGGGCAAGCAGCATGAGCTGCGCGTTACCCAGGCGATAGCATGCGTAGTAGTTCAGTCCTTCTGTTGACCGAGTTCGTTCCAGATCGCTAGGAAGAGGAGGAACGGAACGCCCTTTCCCGATTTCCCTCCATTTCTTCTTATGTGCCTCTCTCATTCACAGTTTGTTGTTCCAGGGACTTTTTCGAGGGCGAAATGGCGAGGCCGAACCGAACAGTCGAAACACAGGTACTACAACAACGAGCAGAGGTTGCTGTTGCTGGTAAAAACTGCTGCTGTGTTGCCGTAGTAAAAAGGGGGACGGTGAGGGGCGTTCCCCTCTCGCGCTCTTTCGATGGTATTCCATGACGGCGAAATAGACGAAGTTCTCTCGAATTGGGCAAAAATCGGGTGAAGCATTGCAGCATTGCGAATGGGGCTTGGTTCAGCAGTATAAGAACGAAAGTCCTTGTCAGCTCTAGCATGGGTTGCGGCAGCAGCGCCAATGCGCCTTGGTGCGTTCCTTAGGCGCAGACCGAAACGGAGAGGGAGAGAAGGCTGGTTAGTTAGCTAGTTGAGAGGCCGAGGGTACATTGCCCGGCCGCTCGCTAGTCGTTTGCTTGGTCGGTCAGGTTTTCCTATTTGGAATCAGCTCCCCTACCCTTAGTCCTATCATCATCTGAAAGGGTCAAGGGCAGCCAAATGGCTGTTGGCTGACTGACTTGAACTAGACTGGCAGTTTGGGAGATACAGCACACACCAGTCGTTGGCAAACTGCAAGGAACTATAGGTATCAATTCTCGGATCCTATACAATAAATAGTGCGAGCATTTGCGTTCGTTTGATATAATTTAATAATCATTAAGCAAATTCGTGTGCTCGGTTACAATATATTTCGCCGTTTTACCTTACTACTATTTGGATTCGATTTTGAAGTGGGACACTTTCATCTCAGAAAGGGTCCTAACTTTCTCTCTAATGCATGTTCTAAACGATAAAATAATTACATTAGAAAGAAAATTGCTCTAGAATCGTTCTGCTCTAAAAAATTTACCTTAAGCACTCTATTAACAATAGTCCAATTTCGTATAAGTGCGTAGTTTAGTTTCGTGTCCATTCACGAGGTGTTTTTTTAACGTGTTTTTTTTTAAGGTGTTCACTGTGTCTCAAGATGGTCGTACCGAAGTTTATTAGAGAGAAGCATATCGAGTGGTTGGAACCATCGGCGCTGAAGTTTTAATACTTTCGCCTTATGTAGTCTCCGTCTGGTGAAGACACCTTACATGGTCTCTATTACACTCAGAGAAAAAGCCTAAATTACTACACCAGAACGACTTCCTTGCCTGCCATCGAGCTGCCATTGTCCTATCAGCAAAGTCGCCGTCGTGAAAGGTCAGATTGCTACGCATGATTTATAGAACGATTGTGGTTCAAGTGACGGGTCCAATTCAGGCTGGAGCTGAAGAACAAAAATGCCTGTGCCCTTATCATGTTATACATTGCAAACAAAAATATCAGCATTACAAGTGATCACATACAAGCCTCAGCCGCGATGCGATCCTGCAAACCGTCCGCAATAACGTGCGTAGTTACTGCTGTTTGTTTACGTACGTATTCAGCTATCTGATCTACGTAGGCTGCGCTACTTTAAGAGTAGAACGGTGGTATAAGACCAAAAGGAAGGCGCAGTAATGAATGGTCAATTGCTGGTGTTAATTAATCTATCTAAAACATTATCCACGATTAATCTAAAACAAGCTGACAAGCAACGAAATCCGATATCGAAATCGAAAAAAGAACAAACTTCGTTCTATAGTGACTCAGATTCTTACACCCTGGTTTCCTCCTACCCAGAACGAAAAACGGTTTTCAAATTATTCTGCTATTTGGGACTGTTGCCGTGACAGCGTACCGACGTATGACTTTCGATAAGCTACCTCAAATCCAAGGTCGTGAGTTCGACGTGGATCTGAAAATGGTGTGGAGGGTTTATAAAAAAAACTTAGCAGAGGAACGGGTGGGTGATCCTATTGCAGTTGCATGCTTCATGGACCTTCAACAGACAGGACGCACGAATGGCGGGTAGAAGGGAAATGAGAAAGGGAGGAAGAAGCCGAATCCTACGCCGACTTGGGGACTGAGCGAAGGAGAGGGTAGGGAAAATGGACCGAAAATTTTACCGGCTACGCCAAAACCGACATTATACCTATCCGACTAAACCTCAGGCAACCGGACTGCTAGCTTTCGTCGAGAAGAAACTTTGAATACCTTGTTCATAGGAAGAAGAGCTTTATTCGCAAGCTAATTTATTAGGTTAGGTTAATTTAGAGGTTTACATGCATATTTCCTACACGAAATCTACGGGTTATAACGTATTTTTTAATCTCTATTATTGGTACGCATAGCAACAGATGAAATTTCAGTAGAAGGACCTACCTTTCTTTTTTTTCGGCGAGTTGTCGTCTGCGTGGCCTCCCGTGAAGCAGCGAAAATAATACGCTATTATAAAGTTGACTGTTATGTGACCGAACGCATTTGTAGCAGAAGTAAAATACTTTTAAATATAATAAGTAGGATTTGAAATCTCTAGAATAAGCATCTATGAACACCTACTGGTAATAATCACATGATATATAATACGATAAGGATCGTAGCAGGTATGTAAGGAGGAAATGCAAAGAAAGATTAGGCAAATTGGCGAACTATACCTAGGGTCCACTATATCCATCATATGCTGCACGTGCAGCCATCCATCCATCCATCCATCCATAGAAAATGCTGCTGAGCCTAAAGGAAAAGACGAAATTGGAATTAATCGTCATTGACATAAAAAGGATTATTATAAAGGTTAACACAACTATCCATTCATCTATTATATGACGTCTTATACGCTTGCTAGGTAGTTCGGTGACACATGTCCATTGATACGACTATGAGTTTCGCCGTATATTCATAGTTTTAGGAGACGCCGTCAATAGTGTTCTTCAGACGAGCAGAGTATTATGTCCTACGCTAAAAATGTCGAAGAAACCTTGAAATGAATTTTTTAATATTACATTCATTAACTAAATGAGGCGTGACATATCAAAATAACTCTCTGTGGTTATTTCATATGCGTATTATATATATAGCGTATATAAGCTAAGTCGGATGAGACCTTCAGGCGAACAGCGAGCGCTGTTAGCTTGGCAGTGCCTTCTCGATGTCGCCTGAACAACGTATGTTTTACAGAAGGATCTGCCTTTCACAATTTAACTTTTGGAGATGACCTATGAAAGCTCTGTTATAGGCAGAGTCTTTCAGAGCTTTGAGTGCTCAGAGGTTTTATGCCCCAATTAAAATGTTGATTTACAATACCGCCCCTATAGGTGGTTAGGGAGTTCCCGAAAGACCGGAAGCGCAAGTGCGGACAGAACGCGAGACTTAACCTCACTGTGGACTCGTGGTCGCTGCACAAGCTGAGCTCAATGTATTTTGGTAACAACAGCATTTCTCCCCAGGAGGGCACAGTTACCTATGCAGTGGAGGTAGAGCACCACTGAAGTGCGTTGCGTTTGCCAGTAATCCTTCCCTTTCTCTGTTTTGGGTATCTAGCTAACGGGGCTCGACGTTTCCTTATTGACGTTGGTACTCTGACGTCCAGCAACCTGGATGCAATTATTTTTTGCGACTCCAGAACTCTGCTGCCAAAAAAAAGAATGCTATACATATATATTTCTCCCGCAAACTTCATTTGGCTTGGGCTACTAGAAAGACGGTGCGCGTAGTCCTGGATTCCGACCACGCCGGTACCAGGTTGTATGAGCTGACAGACAGATCGGCCGGGAACGCCTTACGGCACATCTTCTAAAAAAACTTTAACCATTCTGAGTGCCTGGATTTAGAATTCTTTATGCTGTTGCGACTCAAAGAAGAGCTATGCAGTAGCGTGTCAAACTTAAAGCTGGAGAAGCTAACGTGCAAAAACTCCGTCATCCTACATGGCTGCCGTGGCCAGGAATTTTCACTTGGTAGACGGACTTCTCTGTACACGAATGGCTCGTTTTCTGTCCAAGAGTCGATTCAACCGTTATTCAGTGAAAAAAAAAAAGTTTCGTTTTGAAAGCAAGATGGAGTGGCACGTGCTGTGGCGGTACGATTCAAAGGCAAATCCTTATGTTAGGACATCAGCCCATTGAAGGATTTCCTCGTTGTTCTCCGTGAGGAGAAGATAAGCGTCTTATTTCTTTGCATTGACTCATTTGAATGCATCCCGTGAAAGCGAAGGGTAACGGAATGAAGATTTGGACAGTGCAACTGAGACAGGGCTGTGGGCAAACCACGACAAGTGAATTGCAAAGGAGTAACGGGAAAAGTGCAATATGGTAATCGAATAACTATAACGAGCTTGAATTCAGAACTCATATTTGGGCCGAGTAACTTTGAACTTGCATTGGGGTTCAGGCTCAGAAAAGTAACCACACACAGTGGTGGCTAGTGTCTTTACAGATCACGTGCAAAAAAGGTACGAACTAGGCTACTCACAGGCGGAATGAAAATCAGCGGGTGTATTAAATGTGCTATTGTTCGTTACTAAACAGATCGGATGGCTTCCTCCACTCCCTTATGTCCTTAACATTGCAAGTTCCCATTTGACATCATAAAAGTGTATTTAAATCATAATATTCATGTATATAAATCTACTCTAAGTTTTCCATTCAGGTTGGCCGCTGCGAGCACAGATAATTCCGCAGCGCTCGAATGTGTCCCTTTAATCGTGAGTAACGTATTAGTACATAGTTAATTTAGGACGTAGATGTATTGTTTACATGTTATAGTTAAACTTCAAGTAACTTTTTATATACATATTATAGCCATTATATCTCAGGGATATCCATGCGGCCTTGGATCCACTTAGCCATGTATTTTTTTTTTTATAGGATCTACACTGTGCTTAATCTTATCGGGCAGCCAGAGACGTCTGCCTTTTAAGGAGTACAACTGGAAATGGTATGGTAAAGTGTAACATTTACAAAACGTACGAAGAATATTTTCTCCAAGCGGTCCTATATTTTTTATTGCAGAAAGCTATAGTCCTAGGAACAGTTCTAAATAAAATAGCTTTTATTGTATCACAACATGCGATACATTGGTGCTGACCATATGGTGGCAAATTTGACCTTCCATATAGGTTAGGTTAAAACCCAGTTTTTCAAAGCGTTGTGGCTTTCGCAATTTCTAGAATAAGCTATTCTTCTTCTTCTTCTGCTTCAGTCAATTGGCGAATAAACTCGGTATCTTAAAGTAAAACATCATTAGCATTGTGTTTAAGAAGTGTAGTGTGGTAAGATTTCCGCAGGATCATAATACAAACTGGCAATATATATATAAGCAAACAATAGGCCAAAGGTGTTGTTTTGAATAGAAAAATATCTCGTTATTTTCAACTGGCTGTAACGTATAACGACGAGGTAAACATTCGTGTCTAAATACTAGTGGAAAAGGATATTTGAATCCAAGTTTTTACGCTATAAAAATAACCACGGCTATAAGTTACGCTTTCTTACTACTCCTTTTATCGATGACTAATTATTTCAATTACTAAATGGATATTGATTAATAGTAGTACAATTTTAAAATGACTCATCGCTACTCTCAGTCTTTACATGCACTAGCATTTTTTGCTATCTTGATAATGATAAGAAGCTTGTTGGCGCGTGGGGCAGGCTATCAGTGCCTGTCGCGATCTATTCTATAAGGGTTAGTTCAGTGGGTTGTCTTGCGTAAGGTCATTAATCAGGATCTGTAAATTTTAAAGGGGAACGGAGCAAGTCAACTTATTGAGTACTTGTGTAGTCGATGTATAATACTATAATAGCGGACACAACGCACCCTTCCACGTAACGATGTTCTCCTTTCGCCGGCAAAATTATTCTTGGAACGGCCATTATCAGGGACAGACAAGACACTGCAAGCAGCATGTAGCCGAAGGGAACCTCAGCGCTTCAAAGCATGGCTGTATCCCTGCGAGTCGTATTCTAAGAATAGCAGCAAAAACGGGGCCAAGACTGGGAATGCCAGAGGCCGCCTTCCTGCTACATGCCATATCTGCTCTGCCCACCCACGACCTTCCTGAAATAGATCAAGGCCCGACCATGGTCTATGGATAATAATACAGGGGTGCTCGGCCTGGCGGAAAAATTCAAAAGGCAAATGCACTTTCTTTATGACATTCAGGCAGAAACTGAAAAGAACGTGGCCGTCGTCCTAACGAAACGACAGCTGGAAATATTCAAACAGCTTAACGGGCACTCAGTTATGCATACATATTTATAAAATGGATAAGGAAACGCATCAGTAAATATCAATCAGTCGTCAAATTTAGGCTATAATAGCTAACGTATAATATGATGGTGTCAACTGTAGGAGTGGCAGCGGCGGCGTGAGCGGCAATGCCAGAAGGTCGTACTACGTCGGAAGTCATCATGGAAACGCAGGGCAAAAGAGTACGCGAAAATTTAATGATTTTGACCTTTTTTGCAGAAAGCCAGGTACCCAACGGTGGAAAAGACCAATACCATGGGTGAGCTGTGTACCTATCCAACTATTAGAGTCTTGTTTATAAATATTTATCATTTGTAATACAAACTAGGGGCAATTCTATGTGAGCGTTAGCCCAAAAGGGGCCATTGAAGTCTATAAAAATGCTGAACCTGGAGCTTTAAAATGTAAGGAAGAATTGTAGAAAAACCCTTGTCGAAACATACATGCTAAGCGTTGCGTTCATTGCATCAAAATAAGATGCAAATTCTCATTGAGCACTTTGCACGACCACATATTGCAGATTATACACTTCACAGTTTCCAAACTGACGGCATTTTATTAACGTCTTTTCTGAGAGAAGATATCGTTAATCGTTCGTGAGAAGATTCTTTGATATTCTTCTTAAGAATATGGTAGACAAGCATCGTGATTATTAAATAAATGTTAAATATAAATATTTATTTGATCTCGGCTATATATCGGAAGCCCCCCCCCCCCCCTACTTGTGAGTACATTAAAACAAAGGTAGCCATCATTTTCTTAGAACAATTTTTTTTGCAAAGACTTGCTGACGTTTTTCATTTGTGAAACATTATAATCGATACGGATTCGTTTTTCAATAGGATAGTTCTATAGTTATAAGCATAAGGTTCGCAAAGATTGTGTAGCATCAATAAAATATCGTATGTATCAGTTATTTAATTATCTTACAGTAACAATTACGAAGTCACCTTTTTTTTCAGTATATATGCTTATTTTGCAAACGTTCTGGAGCATTCTATAAGCATTTGCCGGATGCGACTTTGAAGATCGAAGTTCGCATGTTGACATCAGCCAGATTTGTGCTGGGAACCGTGGGTGCATGATGTAAAAGGTTCTTGAGTTATTTAGCACTACTCCCACTTTTTCCTGGGCTAATCAGTCGAGTTGTTCTACCTCTGAATAAAATTATTCTAACATGTGCTATTTTCTAATTTTTTTTTTCAAATATATAGTCCCTTAGTTCTGGTTTCCTATACTCTAGGTCGCAATTTCGAAGAGTGTCCGCACCTCACTGACTTGGCCGCGACTTCGTTCTCTAGATGGTAGTCAGATGTAGTTGCGGTCCATCGAGTAAGTGGGGGAACGGGTTAGGAAAGACAGTCGGGGATCGACCCAGGAAGGCGGCTGGAAGAGCTAATGCAGCAACAATAGTCAACCTCCGACGGCCGGCGTCCTTGAAATCCGCCAGCTTGTTGTCAAGAAGTCAGCCGCCGCTACTGTTACCAGCGGCGGGCGGGGCCTGGGGCGGTAGGAGCCCACTGGTTCGTTTGCTTGCCTAAGGGCGCCGGGAGTGAGGAACGTTTCGGAGAATAGGCGGGAAGTACGTCAGAGCATCGACCTTGGCGTCAAGGCCATCCGAGTTCATGGGTAGGTCCCCTAGAATTCTTAGGACGAAGCCGCCAGCGGATAGAGAAAAGCGAATATGGGTGAGGGCCCTACAAAAGGGCGAGAGCCTACAACAGAGTTCCGCAATAGATGGAGGACCAAGCGAAGTGGAGCCGAAGAGGCGGCCATTGCAGCTCGAACCTATTTCACGACAGGTAACCCAACAAACATAGACATTTTTCAAAGGTTCGAAAACGGATCACAAACGCCTCTTAAGCGGCCATCGTAGCAGCAGGAGCAACATCAGAATGGGACTCGGTGGAAGGTGGCTCTGACTGGGAGACACGTTGAGAAAGAAGCACAGCACTGACGTAAGCCTCAGTAGATAAAGATGGTAAATAAAGATGACGATGATCATGATGTTATCTGCAAGCGAAGCGGATGTCCTAGTTGAAGTTGATCGATACGAGGTAGCTGTTCTGACACAAGCGCCTGAGAAAGGAAAGGAAAGGAAAGGAAAAGTCAAAGCGTCTATAATTCACGTGGCGGTTAGACGTAGCAGCAAAGAGGGCTATCATGGCTTAGAAATTCTTTTCGCTAGTATACACTAATACGTGCCTTGCGTATGATCTTTTTTATTCCCCCAAAACCCACAGAAATTTTAATCACCCCCACGATCCTGGTTAGCGGGTCGCGCAGAACAATGATATTCAGTAATGAAACTGTGCTTCTAATCATTTATTACGTCTCTATAAACGAAGGCAATACATCCACACCGAAGTTTACCTCTAAATGCGACTTATATCATATTGTTGCAAGGTTATTTAGAGCCTAGGCTCGTAGAGAAATCGGCGAGTTTATTATACACCTCCCATCTTGAGATACTCAAAGCGAATCGTGCTACTCAGGCAGGCTTAAGCGGAATATCGGCGGCTACCTTAGAACTCAAGTTCTACCGAAATAAAGCGAACGATCTAGTTCTGCTTATGAGAATATCTCATAAGGCCTTCAGACATAATGGTAGAAGATAATACTTGCTTTCAACAAACGAGTCATTAGTCGAAGTGTTGAAGGTAAAGGACATCTTGGGCATAAGTTATCGAACAGGCTGTATGACGTCTTTTATTTTCAAGCGCATTGATGCCGTTTACTTGTCCTATCAAACAAAACAAGGTGTCTTTCGAAACCCATCGCATCTCCAATTTCATTTGTATGGCTTGCCATGTCGGATTATATTTTCCATAATCATCACCTTATTTAGCGATGAAGCAAGCGGTAAAGGCATACAATGGGCACAGGGTCGTGGCGTCCGCGAAAGCAAAAATATTCTTCTGCTTCTTGGGTTCGCCGTCGACATTTTTACGACAGTAAAGTTTCCTTTTTAAAAAAGATGACGTTTGAAAACACCGTTTCTGCATAGTCTGAAGAGATCTAGACTTATGTCGATCTTATGGCGCTTATGTGGCAAACTCTGTCACCTGCAATGAATAATTTCAATTGTAAAAGATACAGTTTTCGGTGGCTCCTTCTAAACGAAGCAAACCCTACTAGCTACCCCAAAAGCTACTGAAAAATGACCTTTGTTTCTTATTTTTCTACTAAATCAACTAACCAAAAAATAAAACAGTTCGATATTTTAACATTAGTATTAACCTATTGTGACTGATCGATAAGTTACGTTAAGCCAATTCATTTCGTGTGGCCTAATGCAAATGCTTTCGGTTTCGATTTATCTAACCTGACCCACGGACTTCTGGGTCTTGTCTGCTGTTTTCGTATATGAATGAAAAGCTCAGGGAAATTCGGCAAGATCTTTGTTTGTCAAGGCGTCTAAGTAGACAGACACCTATAGTATTATGCTCAGCCAATCCTGCATCATGTGAGAAAAAAAGCTAACGATTTTGGCCATCTCTATAGCCTAATGGTAGGTGTTTTGTCTCCTTGGAAAATGGTTGCCCTGTTTGCCTTGCAAATAATCGAAACGTTCGTATCTAAAGTCGACCTGTATATATTTCTTAGTAATCAGCAGTTACTTTTTAGGGAGAAATTTACCTTAATCGTGCATCGTTGATGAGAGCAAATTGAAAAAGTCCATGAAAAATAGTATTCCATGTAGTTTACAAGCAATCGGGGCATTTTATATTCGTTGAATAATGTCGTTTATTAAAGGCCACTATGGTTGATAAGCCGCTGACGCCAGTGCATTGAGACTGTCCTAGCTATTCATACGATTTGGCCTAGGTCGCGTATCAGCGGGATACTCTTTAAAGAGCTGCTTTTTTTGTCACTACGATCTTCTATACTTTTGGTTTTATACTACATTATTTAGAGGACAGTTTACAAAGCGTATACGTCAAAGTACTCCAATTGTGCAGAGCATGCAGTTTGTTAAGCTTGCGCTGACCTATTTGGAATTTTTTGTCTACCTAAAATGTAGCCATAAAAATTACTATACAAGATTAGCTTTTTGTAGTACCAACAGTACGATTACGGCGCTATATCTAGTAAATGTTTACATCTATGATCCAAATTGGATTAAATAATACCCACGTAGACGATAGGGTGTTACTAGTGTGATTTGCTAATAGCTATACGCATCGTCCTAGAAGAACCCTTTGCTGCAGTTATCATTCTCGCACGAAATTATCACAGTTATGAAGAGCGTGCGGAGAAGAAAGAAGCAGCAGTGTGCTCGCTCGTCAAACTAACTAGGGTAACTGTTACGCGGATTGAGCATTGCATGCGCGGCTCCGTTATCTACAGCTAAGGGTCGATATTTACCGTTTCCGATTTCAGGAGAAAATTTGATTTCTACCCAAATTCGGCAATAGCAGTCTTTTAGACAAGCGTACAGATCGCGTCAATGAGACAGTTTTAAATCGATGTCGTATTAAGATCTATTTACCAAGCCGATCTTTGTTCTCTGTCTGAAGTATCGTTCCAAGGTCTTCACGATGAAAAGTTTCTCTCGCCATGAGTGTCACAACGAAGGTGGGAAACGAGGCGATGTCTAATCATATTTATCGGTGGTACTTTTCAGAATACAGTACGTGTTTCCGTTTCTCTCATAGGCATAGCTAGGCACCTATTTGAGCACAGACGGTTCTCATTAGCTATCATGGCGTAACAGGTTAGCAATTTGTTGCGTAACGCGCGACATATATACGCTTCGGGAACGCTGTCAATATGTGAGAGAGACTCAGCTTGTAGCGTTTATAGAGATAGCTTTTACTCACCTGAAGCTTAGGCTAGGTTGCCCAATATTTTACATTATAAAGTCGTTTTGACAATAAGTTTATAATCCTGAAATTTACAGACTAAATGGGTGTCAGGGTCCAGGACCAGCCGTTCCTAGGCTGGAAACGTCATTTTAGCATTAAAATGCGCCGATCTCGCTGTCAGTAGAGGTACAGAGGTCTGTGTCCTATGGACGATGGAGCAGGCGAAGTTTTTCTAATAAAAATAACGATCGGAAAATCGGCAACACTAATGCACAATGTGTTGCAACGTCGTCACAAGTGTCACGTCATCTTCTATAAAATCTTAGTATATAACAATATACAGCAGTACTTTGAGTATATAGTGCGTTATTGGTCTTTTGCGACACTGATTTGCGACCGATAGTGTAACTTACATTAACACAAACAATTTAACGGCGACCTATGGAAGTTAAGTTTTCGTCTTCTAAAGATGATTTTTACGATTTTCTATTATAGCCGGACTTATGACTGCCCTAACGCATACATCTTATAGTACAACGCAAATTTCCGCGGTATTGTATTGCACACAATACGCTTTAGGTGTATTTTAAATTATTTAAAAATTAATAATATATTTCAATTTTTCCGGATAGGACGACAAATCGATGCTTAAAATTAGGGACACGCATATAATTAGCAATGAATGAATAAAATGGTGCTTATTTTTATTGATCCGTATTGTTCTACGTGCAGTCGTTTACAAAGGATACGGCAAATTGTTCAAAGGATATACACAGTTCGGTAACCGATAGTCGTTGGTAGACTTCCTTTATGAAGTTAAACATCACTTGCCGAAAGCTGAAACTACTGCGTGGCCAATATTGCAACAGACTTGAGAAATAACACAATTCCGTGGATGACGTGTTAGCATAATACATATTTTTACCTTTGTTGATGCAACCCGTTCAAGTCGATCTTTACCCTCACAGCTAAAAAACCATCCCACCCTTTGATTAACTTCATCAACTTCAACTTTTTTCTATAGGAACTGAATTAGACTAAGCTACCCTTATATATATGTGTGTGTAGCACGAGCTGTACGTGTGATGTGCATGATTCATAACGTACAAGAGTCACCTAACATTTGGCGCACGTTGCTGAAATCAATCACACCTAAAAACATATGCAATAGGCATAGATCTAAACAGATTGGGTCTCCTTCTGTTGTGGCTGTTGACCTAGGCTCGAACGTCCTCCACTAACCGTCCTTTCTGGTTCTGCATGGCTCCTAGCCGACGCTGACGCTACACGGCCACAAGCCAATGTTGATTTTGTTATTATTTCTGCTATGTACACAGCGATGCTGTGAAAGAGCTCCAAAAAGCCTTAAGAATATCTAGTCTGGAAGCCAGTCATAGCGGTGGGAGATTTGGTGACAGCGACCGTTATAACCGTAAAATGTCCATTCCAATGTGGTAGAGATATGAATTTTTTTTTTCTAACATTCTTGATTATTTCTATTGTGCAAACAAATTTTCGGGATCATCGAATTACACCTAATCAGTGTAATTTTTACTAGAAGGTCTAGCAGAGGTGGCTTAGGTGGACTTGCCTAGGGTTTCTCCAACTGATCTATGAGACAGTATAAAAACAGACGTTTACTTGACGTTAGGTACACTATATAGTTTACAGATTATTAGAAGAATAGTGCACAACTCAGAGGACGTACGCATCAAAGTTTTCTAAAGGACAGATTCTCCCGAAGGCAATTTGAATGAGCTGTAAATGAGTCCGTAGCAAACGTCAAACCGTCAACGGCTAAACGTATCTGCCGGGTAAAATAGGAGAGCATTCAAACAAGTCTGAAATTAATAAAAAAAAAAAGAAAACTCAATTCGGACGGTCAGAGATATCTAAAATGTCCTAAAAATTCATTTGACTTTGTTATACATCTATAGCAAAATTATTATTCAGATTGTTTCCAAATTGACAGTGGTAAAAAATCTACGAATGAGGTGATTGATTATAGTTACTTGTACGTGTTTGGTAATAGTTATGCGTACATTAGTAGTTGTATGTCCTCAATAAAGCTGTGAAGCCTCATTAGTGAAACTAGACCTGCTGCTAGTGGCCTCGGGGTAGC